CACACAGTGTCAAGAACGACGCGGTAGGCCTAGAGAAACGACAGAACGTGAAGGCAGAGCAATCGTCAGAGCGTCACCCACAGCCCCAGATGCATTATTATTATCGATTGTACGTGCAACTAGAGCTTCAGTGACCGCAACGACCATTCATAGACGGCTCACAGAAAGGGGAATGAGGTCACGGCGCCCCTTGCGCCGACTACCATTGATTGACCTCTGTACAACGTCAAGCCCGTTTGCAGTGGTGTCGGGCTCATTCGCACTGGAATGTCACTGACTGGAGTGGAATAGACTTCAGTGATGAGACTCGCTTTGAACTGAGCCCCGAAGACCAGCGAAGGCGAGTCTGGAGACGCCCCGGCAAGCGGTGTGATACCAACCTGACTGCCTTCCGGCAGACAGGCCGACAGCCAGGAGTGATGGTCTGGGGTGCCATTTCATTTTATAGAAGGACCCCTTTGGTTGTCATCCGTCACAACCTTACAGCACAGCGGTACGTCGACGAAGTTCTAAGGCCCGGTGTATTGCCATTCATGTCACGCCCCCTGGGCTTACATTTCAGCAAGATAATGCCCGCCCCCCCACTGCACATGTTTCCACTGCTTGCCTTAATGCTTACCGAACATTACATTGGCCATCAAGGTCGCCGGATCTCTCTCCTATTGAGCACTTTGGAGCATTATGGGCGGGGCCCTCCAACCAGCTCGGGATGTTGACGATCTAACGCGCCAGTTGCACAGAATTTGGCACGATATCCCTCAGGAGGACATCCGCAACCACTATCAATCGATGCCAAGCCGAATAACTGCTTGCATAAGGGCCAGAGGTGGACAAACGCGTTACTAACTTTTTCACTTTGTGAAGCTCTATCACTTCAATAAATCATCCAATTTTTCTCAAACTGTAATAATTTTTTTTTCAGTACATGTACATCACTTCTACCAATTTTCGTCCCATTCGGATAACTTCTTCTTGGTGCATCTTTTTTTTTTTTTTTTTTTTTTTTTTTTTTTTTTTTTGTCCAAGAGTGTATTTACATTATAAAATATGAATTTACTTTTGTTTAATGAGAAAATGAAGAAAGTTTCATACAAAAAAGAAACTAGAAGTCATTCACCTTGTGATTTATCAATTTCAATTTTAGTTTCCTGCATTATTTTGGTTCAGCAGTGTTTCATTACCAAAATATCAGCAATAAATTTATATCATTCACATGTTTAGCGTTCTTTTAATTTGTTGGACTGAATTTTTATTTTTGAGGAAAAAAAAAAGGGATAAAAATAAAAAGGTTTCAGATTTTAACTGTCGCCCAAAATTGTTTGTTAAGGTTGTTTACTCTCTCGCTTACCTCGCATTCTGAAACTCTACTGTTACATTCATTCCTACCAACTCCGCTTCTTTTCTTGTCTTTTTAGCTTTATTATTAACAATAATTTTCTTCGCACTTACGCCATATGCAATTAAACAGCAAAATGACAAAAAAATGTTAAAAGCGGCACAACGGTATACGTTTAGAATTGCCAATGCAGCAAACATTTTTTTGTTTGCTTCTGTCTTTTCTGAGTTTATCGCATCAATGTTACTAAATTCTTACTAAAATAGCTTTAGAAAACTATGTTTTGTTCTTTTATTATTAAGTTTTATGTGTTTACTTTCTTGGTGCTTATGCCATACAAAATTCCATTCAACGGTAAAATCACAGATCATTTAAAAACAGCATATCTTTAGAATTTCCGACAGACAATCTTGCGCGCTGGAGATAAAAATGTTTTACTCCATACAGTATTCACAATGCTCGCTTTGAAACGGTTAAATTTGTTAATAAAAAAATCGTGAAAGCTTTACAAAACATGCAGTAGATAATAAAACAAATTCCAAATTCGGGCTTTCAAGTGTCCATATTCGGGTGGAGGACCACGTTATTCAAAATTGGATGTCTCTAATTACCGTTGTTTTTTCACATTGCGAGAAATATGCATACATTCATGCAAATTCTTCCTTATGTAATTTCTTTAAATATAATATAGGGCGATATTTGGTGGCAACAATTTAAAAAGTCATACGCCATTTTTAGCGATTCAACGCAAAGTGCCGTTTTGAGTGGGCTAATTATGATTTTTTAAATTTATCCCTCGTGATTTTGAAATTAAATTATGAAGTTTGAATTAAATATGAGATTTTTACTTTAACTTTTTTAGAGTAATATGGTAATATTATTGCAGCAAGCATTAATTTGATACTTTTTTTCAAAGTGCTTGTGAGTTTCATATCAGTTTTGAGAAAATAAGTCAAGAAAGTTTCCTTTAAAGCTACTATAAACAGGTTTACGAATAATTTCACTACATAATAATTCAGGTAAATTTAAGAACAAAAAATTTTAAGAGTAAAACTTTCTTAATTCTTGTTCTTTTTTATTTTAATATTTAAATCTCAAAGCGAAAGTTAGTGATTATTAGTTAAAATATCTGATGTGTACACCACATGACTGCCTTCTACGGAATATTATATTATACGCAATTTTCTTGCGTTTCATTTAAACATATTGGATTAACCGTTAACGAATTTTGAATTAAATTTACTTCGTCGATAACACATATACCTTGTGCCAAGAATATATATTATTATAACCAAGAAATATGCATACATTCATGCAAATTCTTCCTTATGTAATTTCTTTAAATATAATATAGGGCGATATTTGGTGGCAACAATTTAAAAAGTCATACGCCATTTTTAGCTATTCAACGCAAAGTGCCGTTTTGAGTGGGCTAATTATGATTTTTTAAATTTATCCCTCGTGATTTTGAAATTAAATTATGAAGTTTGAATTAAATATCAGATTTTTTACTTTAACTTTTTTAGAGTAATATGGTAATATTATTGCAGCAAGCATTAATTTGATACTTTTTTTCAAAGTGCTTGTGAGTTTCATATCAGTTTGAGAAAATAAGTCAAGAAAGTTTCCTTTAAAGCTACTATAAACAGGTTTACGAATAATTTCACTACATAATAATTCAGGTAAATTTAAGAACAAAAAAAATTTAAGAGTAAAGCTTTCTTAAATCTTGTTTTTTTATTTTAATATTTAAATCTCAAAGCGAAAGTTAGTGACTATTAATTAAAAAATTTGATGTGTACACCACATGACTGCCTTGTACGGAATATTATACTATACGCAATTTTCTTGCGTTTCATTTAAACATATTGGATTAACCGTTAACGAATTTTGAATTAAATTTACTTCGTCGATAACACATATACCACAATAGAATAAATACACTCTCTTAAAGTTCACTATATTTATTTACCATAGCGACACTTCGCCGCTACGTTCACTTAACAGCATTACGTCTCATTCATTTTATAACTCAGAATGAACAAAAATTATATCATCTGGAGAATTACCACATTCTCTCTTCAAATACTATAATAAATCTCAAAAGATGTATAAAAGAAATTAAACAAATAAAAAAGAACAATTTTTCACAGACGATTTTACCTCATACAAGGAAGTAAAAAGGGTTCTCACTTTTTTTACCCATCGGCACTTGATAGTATCATAACAGCAAAATATATATATATGTTACCGTGAAAGACCGAAATTGGAGAATGTCGACTTTCAACAGAGAATATCAACATTCACCAAATACGTCGGTGAAAGATCGAATATTGCACTACATTCTTGTATATTCGGAGCCTCACCGGTGTAGGTCGACAATCACAGATATGCTGTGGTGAAAGTCGAAAAGAGAGGTCATAAAGTGCCATAATAGTTTAAGTTGTTGCAATAAATAAGATTTGAATCCCATAATTTAGTAAGTTTTTTATGACTGTTATTTTATTTTCTGATTTAGAACGTACTGTATAATTAAGTAAGTTTTTAACTTCTATTATTTTCCTTTCTAATTTTGAATATATTGTGTGTTTAGGTTCTCATGTTCTTAAGTTCTTATTTCAAGTCTCCAGTGGGTTTATTCGCGACTGAATTACGGAGAAGAAAATATAATATTGCTATATGTTCAACATTCACCATTAGTACATGGTGAATGTCGACATTGACCGGTGTAAGTCAGAAATAAGAGTATTTGGAAAATGCAGGGTGGCCCAGAAGTCACTTTACATTTGAAAATTAAATAACTTTTTTTTCTATTAATATATTTCTTTTTCTCTTTTCAGAATTAAAAAATATATCCCTGGAAATTTTTGGCATGGATAAGTTTACAAACAGAACAACGAGTGAAGATAATTGAATTTACTTTGAAATGGACGGTCAATTGTTTGCAACGCAATATATTGCGCCATTTTAATGTTCGACATCCCCCTAGTAGGCCTGCAATAAGGAACTTAGTGACGCGTTTTCAAGGTTCAATTAGTGCAATCTTTAAAACCAGCAGACTTTCAGAAACGAGTAAATTATGCTGTCAGATTTCAGAGAACTGCAAGAAATGACAATGAGTTTATTCACAAGTTGATCATGGGAGATGAAGCTCATTTTAATTTGAATGGACATGTGAATAAGCAAAAAATAAAAAAGAATTAATTAAATACAGTCATTTAAGAAAAAGTTATTTAATTTTCAAAATGTAAAGTGACTACTGGGCCACCCTATATTTCGGACATACACCAAGAGACTATGTGAATGTTGACATTCACCGGTGAAAGTCGACATTCTCCAGATTTTGGTGTTTCACCGTAACATATATATAGCATACTTTATTTTCTCACTGTGGGAAATAACAAAAGTATAAACAGTCAATTAAGTGTAGGAAATTTAAATTAACCTCAGTGAGAAAACGCAAAAAAAGCATGACTCATTTCTTAAAAGTCTAAAAATGAGGGTCGCTTTCGCTTTTTTCAAAATATGGTTATAAATACAATACAGAAAAAATAAAATTTTGCAAAAAATTTTTTTTAAATGTAAAATGACATAATAAAGCATCAATAAAAGCTTCTGTTTGTTAAGTTCATAAATATAATTAAAGAAAATGTTTTAAAATTACCAGTAGAGCTATAACCATGGGTCCTGTTAAAATCCACACGTATTTCGATTTTCCGTAGCCTTTCCAGCATGGAGTATGGAGATCACGTGACATTATAAAAGACCAAGTAGAGACGAAAAGTAGTGGCAAACCTAAAGCAAAAACAAATATAGTAGATGTGACACAAAATTTGCATTACACTGTCGATTATGTGATAGCGTAACGCTTCTGTTATGGAGTCTGGGGGGTATTGCCTGTCGTTAGTTTCATTCATATGAATCACTGTTTTAAAAATGAGCAAAAGGCCCACCAGCGGCCGAGCGGTAAAGTCGCTGAACACTGGTAGTTCGGTCCGAGGTTCGAATCCCGTGAACGGGCTGGCTGCATGGGCGTTTTCGTGGTTTTCCCCATGTGTAACGTGTATACGGGCCAGTTTCCCTTAGAAAGTCCTCCACGAAGGCATTCCTCATCTTAGGCAGATAGCCCTCGAGGCTTTGCCATAATCACACACACACACAAAAATGAGCAAAATATTTATTACTATTTAATAGAAACTAGTACTCTTTTAAAAGGAGAAAAACTTAATTCGCTTTTTAAATTCCAACTATTACCTCACACTCTCTCTATATCTTTTTCAAATTTTCAATCGTTAATAAAATACTTTTTATTCATCCACTCAAGCTCAAATACATTTTTTAAACTTGTAGTGGCTGAACACTTGATGTTAATACAGTTTTTTCCATATTAAAAATTTTTTAAATTTTAATTTAAAAAATTTGTGTTGTATTTAAAAAATTTTTTCTTTGTTGACCTATGCAGGAATTGACTTAATTTTTTTTATATTACTTATTCGGTTGAATGTCATCTCATTGTATTTTGAAAAACTGCTTAAAGCAGTCGATCTTCACTGCGTACATACTAATTCACATATGGAATCTACTTCAGATTTATTGTTATTTTCACTTTGTTCCAAAAGTCGAAATTTTAAGGGGAAAACAAAGGTAAAAAAAAAAAAAAAAAAAAAAAACAAATACAAGGAAAACTTCAAATTCAAATTTGAGGTGCTGGCTACTGGTCTCTGTACCCATAACCGTAATGTAACCATATGTCAAGCAAGAAAGTTCAGATATAACTCATTTGATTAAGGGGGGATAAAACTCGAGCGTGACGTGTCTGTAGGAAGAGATACCTTCGTGATGGACTTCTTAAGAAAAACTAAGTCGCAGTCACATTAGGTACAGAAAAATATCACGAAAACACCCCGTTTGCCAGGATTTTACCTCGTATGTAATTACCAGCATTCAGCGGCATTGCATCTCCTCTGCCTTGGTCCCTAAGAGAGGATTTACCACTCAGAAGGCAGTATCATCAGCTTTTCTCTCTAACCGGCAAGGCCGTATATATACGGACTAGGCTATTTTTCTGTGATGTCTGTAAAAACGTATGTATACGCGCGTCTTGAGTTCTAAGAGAGGATTTACCTCTCAGAAGGCAGTATCATCAGCTTTTCTCTCTAACCGGCAAGGCCATATATATACGGACTAGGCTATTTTTCTGTGATGTCTGTAAGAACGTATGTATACGCGCGTCTGAGTTATAAGAGAGGATTTACCACTCAGGAGGCAGTATCATCAGCTTTTCTCTCTAACCGGCAAGGCCGTATATATACGGACTAGGCTATTTTTCTGTGATGTCTGTAAGAACGTATGTATACGCGCGTCTTGAGTTATAAGAGAGGATTTACCACTCAGGAGGCAGTATCATCAGCTTTTCTCTCTAACTGGCAAGGCCGTATATATACGGACTAGGCTATTTTTCTGTGATGTCTGTAAGAACGTATGTATACGCGCGTCTTGAGTTCTAAGAGAGGATTTACCACTCAGGAGGCAGTGTCATCAGCTTTTCTCTCTAACCGGCAAGGCCGTATATTTACGGACTAGGTTATTTTTCTGTGATGTCTGTAAGAACGTATGTATACGCGCGTCTTGAGTTCTAAGAGAGGATTTACCACTCAGGAGGCAGTATCATCAGCTATTCTCTCTAACGGCAAGGCCGTATATTTACGGACTAGGCTATTTTTCTGTGATGTCTGTAAGAACGTATATATACGCGCGTCTTGAGTTCTAAGAGAGGATTGACCACTCAGGAGGCAGTATCATCAGCTTTTCTCTCTAACCGGCAAGGCCGTATATATACGGACTAGGTTATTTTTCTGTGATGTCTGTAAGAACGTATGTATACGCGCGTCTTGAGTTCTAAGAGAGGATTTACCACTCAGGAGGCAGTATCATCAGCTTTTCTCTCTAACCGGCAAGGCCGTATATTTACGGACTAGGCTATTTTTCTGTGATGTCTGTAAGAACGTATGTATACGCGCGTCTTGAAATTGTTCCAAAAAATTAAGGCAATGTGTATAAATACAGGTTTAAAGGTTTAAAGTACCGGGTATATTTTGGCATTAAAATCAAGAAAATAGATCTTTCTCATGTCAATTTTAGGAAATTTGGGCTTTCGTAAAAAAAAAAAAAAAAAAAAAAAAAAAAAAAAGAGAGGAGAGAGAGAGGGCAGTTCTATATCTCCCGTTCTACTGGGCCGACTGATAAAATTCAACTTGAATTTTTCATGTCTCGTTAGGTTAGGTTAGGTTATTTAATTACGGCAAAGCCTCGAAGGCTATCTGCCTAAGGGGTGGTGTGGTGTGGTGTATTTAATTATGGCAAAGCACACTAGGGCTATCTGCCTAAGAGGAGGGATGCCTTTCGTGGAGGTCTTTCTAAGGGAAACTGGCTCGTATACACGTTACACATGGGGAAAACACCCATGCAGCCAGCCCGTTCGCGGAATTCGAACCTCGGACAGAACTACCAGTATTCAGCGTCTTTACCGCTCGGCCGCTGGTGGGCCTTTTCATGTCTCGAAAGCGCGACTTGGTACATGCATTAGTTTTATATATAGCGTTGTTTTAATATAAGGTATTTTGACACAAACATAATAATATAGGTTTTGACACAGGTAAAATCGGACTTTTTCCGATACTGAATTTTTTTCCCATACTTCAATTCTACCACTCAAATTATGCCAAATTTCCAAGTTGTGTAAAAGTCCCTGGAGGAAATTAAAAAAAAAAAAAAAAGCTTTCAAAATTTTAGCTCCTCATTGTTAATTGAATTTGGTATATGTTTGTTAACATCTCTTTTTTTTTATTAAACTTACTTGATTTCTTTTTCCAGAATTCGAAATTTAGGTTCATTCCAAATAAAATTCGCCCATTTTTATGGTTTGTATATTTAAATAATTTGTTGTAAATTTTTTGAAAAAAAATTTTAATTATAACCTATAAAATTTTTACCATCCTCTTAAAGTAGATGTATTTGTAAGCATAAGTAAGCACATTTGTATTTCATTTGGGAATGTTAAGGTAGCCGCAATCAGTATGTATCTTCTTTATAATACTTTGAGTTTGCTTCTGTATTGCAAACATGTTTTTTTTTTAAACTAGTTTTGAAAAGTCCAACGCAAAAGTGAATATTTTAAGCGCTAGTTCATAAGAAGATTAAGAGATTTTCAGCAAATTTCATGCTAGTCACGAATTGTACTTTCTGTTCGAAAGTAAAAGTATCTTTCGGAATTTTGCATCGTTAACCGTATTAGCTGCAACTGCTAGAGTTTGTGCTTTAGATTATTTATGCAGGGTAAGTTTTTATCGTTTTTCGAGTAGGCAGTAATTTACAAATTGAATTTATTTCGAGACGCAAAGTTATAAAATGAATAAATATTGCTATAAATTTATGTAAGAGTTTTAAATATTTGTTCCGTATCAGTTTGTAAAAATATTGCATCATATTGTTGTACTACAGAAAATCTTACGCACATTCAAATTTTTCATACAAAAGACAAACGGAGTAAACTAAGATATCGTACGTAATAAATACTTGGACGAATTTGATGGAAGCGTATAGCTACAAATTTATGAAAAGTGGTCGCCAAAATGTTATTTGTAGAAAGATTATTAAAAATGTCTCATTTATATTTTTAAAATTCTTTGTACGAAGCAAAAGAAGTGTTATAATAGCGAAAAATTTCGAGTATCATAGTTCAACGAAAATATCCATTTTGACCGTTCTTGAATCCATTTGAGCGATGTTTTTGCGTTACGCCTGTACGCACTGACAGAATAAAGGACTCTTTTTTCCCAAAATGTATTGTAAAATGTATTTAAAATTGATTCAGAAAAGATTTTTTTGTGTCGTCTGTACGTATGTACATACATACATACACTGAAGTGACAAAAGTCATGGGATACCTCCTAATATTTTGTCGGTCCTCCTTTTGCCCGACGAAGTGCAGCAACTCGACGTGGCATGGACTCAACAAGTCGTTGGAAGTCCCCTGCAGGATATTGAGCCATGCTGCCTCTACATGTCCATAATTGTGAAAGTGTTGACGGTGCAGGGTTTTGGGCACGAATTGACAACTCGATGATTCCCATAAATGTTTCGATGGGATTCATGTCGGGCGATCTAGGTGGCCAGATCATTCGCTAGAATTGTCCAGAATGTTCTTCTAACCCAATCGCGAACAATTGTGGCCCGGTGACATGGCGCATTGTCATCCATAAAAATCCCATCGTTGTTTGAGTACGTGAAGTCCATGAATGGCTGTAAGTGATCTCCCAGTAGTGAAGGTATCCATTTCCAGTCAATGATCGGTTCAGTTGCACCAGAGGACCGAGTCCATGCCATGTAGAAACAGCCCAGACCATTATGGAACCACCACCAGCTTGAACAGTGCCTTGTTGACAACTTGGGTCCATGGCTTCGTGGGGATCTGCGCCACACTCGAACCCTACCATCAGCTCTTACCAACTGAAATCGTGACTCATCTGGACCAAGCCACGGTTTTCCATTCGTTAGGGACCAACCGATATGCTCACGAGCCCACGAGGAGTCGCTGCAGGCGATGTCGTGCTGTCAGTAAAGACACTCGAGTCGGTCTTCTGCTGGCATAGCCCAAGGAAGAGAAATTTCGCCGCACTGTCCTATCGGACACGTCCCTCGTACGTCCCACATTGATTTCTGCGGTTATTTGACGCAGTGTTGCTTGTCTGTGAACATTGACAACTCTACGCAGACGTTGCTGGTATCGGTCGTTA